GGGATGCTGGTCAGCTGACAGCCAGAGAGTGGTCTTTGACTCGGCTCAGCGCAGCCGGCAGGTGAGGGACACTGATGGTGTTGAGGGGCAGCCCCTGTGGTCAACCCCCAGGAGCCCTGCGCCCCGAGACATAGCACGTGCATGCCCCTGGGTGAAATGCCCAGCCACAAAGTCTCATCAGCCCCTTAAAACCCTGCCTGCCCATCCTGGACTCATTTCTCTTGGAAGGGACAGGCTGGCCTGGTACACCACAGCAGAACTCAGGCCTTTTCATCTGAGGCAGAGATGCAACCCCTCCCAGGCATTTCTAGCTGGGGGTCAAGGGGACTGCCACTGGGGTGGGTCCCTGAACACACTGTAATGGCAGCTGATGGGGACAGGACTGAGCCCTTCCCCCAGGGATGGAGTAAAGGCACCCACAGTGTGCCAGGCTCCTTTTGGGTGTGATATTTGGTGCTCGTGCCAACTCAAAGGGGCTCAAAGCCATTCCTTACCTTGCCCAGGGTCACCCAGCAAGTTGTGATGGTGCTGGGATTTGAACCCAAGCCCTCACGCTACTCCCTACTGCACTGAGTAACCATCACCATAGCTGTCCACAGCCTTGGTCTGGCCAGGGCTCTCCAAGACGGTAGAGAGGAGGTAGGGGAGGGACCCATAGGTAGAGGGAGTACTCTTGGATGTGGTCCCACATGTGGCCTCCTCTCTGCTTCAGGACCTGTTTGCTGTGGACACCCAAGTGGGCACTGTGACCTCCCTCACAGCTGGTGAGCAAGGCTTTGGGGATGGTGGTAAGGACAGGGCTGGTGAGCAAGCCTGCCAGGCAGTGGGGGACTGGAGCTCCAGCATGTGGGGCAGTGATGGCATTCTCAGCCACTCAGCACCACTGACTGTTCCACAGCCTTTACTAACAGGTCCCCAAAGGCCCTGTCCGTGCAGACCCTTACCCAACCAACAGACTAGCTTCCCTGCTCTACTGCCCTTTAGCACTTAACTCTGCTCCATGTGTCCTGGCCCAGCCTCAGCATGGCCCCTACCTCTGCTCCTAAAACCCACAAAACTCTCTCTTACCAAGATCTGCCAGAGTCATCTTTCTCCCTCTGCAAACCTTGGGTGCCTGTCTCAGGCAGAGGCAGCTCTGCCACCTCAGGGCCCAGGAAAAGCCCAGTGTTGACTCCTGCATCTTCCCCATACTTAGGCCTGGTGATTCTGCCCTTGAGATGTGTTTTGAGTCCTCCACCTGACCTGACTGTACCCGCTCCTCCACAAAGCTACCAAAATATTATTCCAAAGCTACATCTCATTGTACAACTGCTTCAGAATCTGCTTGGACACCACTGCCCCAAATCAGCACACTCCCCGGTCCCAGCTGCCACCCTGCACACAGCAGCCACCAAGGGACAGGCAGATGTGTCTGCATGGTCTGATGTATCTCAAGGTCTGGCAGTTCCCAGTCCAGCCAGTGTCTGTCAGATGAACAAGGGACTGAGAGCAGGAGGCTCATCCAGGGCCATGTGCAGTTGGGTACCTTCTTGGGCACCTTTCCATAGAATCTCCAGCCTGGGACTCTGTTAAAGAGAAGCAGGTAAGAAAGGTGATGGCTCCTGCTAAGCACTTAGTGGCATCTGCCTTTTCCAGGAGGGTCAGGTGGGAGCTGGAAGCTGCTCACAATTGACCGGGACCTCATGGTGGCACAGTTTTCCACACCCAGCCTACCTCCAACCCTGGTGAGTGTCGGTGGGTCCCAGGCCGTGGAGGCAGGGGGTCTGGGCAGGCCAAGCTCATCAGGTCAGGGAATTGGCCCCCGAGTCTGACCATGGCTGGTCAGCATACAGATGGGCCAAGACACAGGCCCAGCTTGGCATGGTCCATGAGGGTTTGGCACTCACAGGGACGAACTACTAGGCTAGAATCTGCTCTGTACAGAACAAGGTGCCTGGGGAAGTACCCAGTCCTGGTATTATAGATCTAAGGAGACAACAGAGCCTAAAAGCTGAGGAGGGAAGGGTGTGCCTGTGTGTGATTGTATGAGTGTGAATACCTTGGTATATACCATCCCACAACAGGAAGCCATGCTATACCCTCTGGAGGTGGGTGGAGGGCCCAGCATAGTGAGAGCTGCCTATTTCCCACTGTGGGCAAAAGGGAAGGGCAGGGAGGCAGCCAGGCCACCTGTGACATATTCCTTCCCCTTGGCAGAAAGTTGGGTTCCTGCCTTCTGCAGGGAAGGAGCAGTCAGTGTTGTGGGTGTCCCTGGAGGAGGCCGAGCCCATTCCTGACATCCACTGGGGCATCCGGGTGCTACAGCCACCCCCAGAGCAAGAGAATGTGCAGTATGGTGAGCTGGGCCAGGGGCAGAGGGATGTCTTCTCCAGGTTCCCCAGCACAAAGCCTCTGCGGTGACCTTTGCTACCTCCTGTCTCACATTGTGGGGTTTCTGGGGATGACCTCTAAGAGGTTTTCTGTTCCTCTTGTGGATGGGCATGGGAAGTAGCATCTAGACATCTGAGCGCCTGCTCTGGGTATCACCTGGGCTCCACCAGGCCAAATCATGTGTGGTGGGAAGACCCAGGTCCAAAGAAAATAGGCCTCATACAAGTCTCAGTGACCACACCTCATCCTGAATGCTGTCCCTGCAGGGTGGGGCTCCCTGACGAGGGCAGAAGAAGCATGAGACTTCTGGGGTCCATGTGTCATGGTGTGGACTACCTTGGCCAGGTCTCTGACCCAGAGGTCAGCCCCAGACCTGCAGCTACAGATGGGCCCTTGGTTGGGGAAGCCCCTAGGCTGGCCCTGCTGACTGCTGCCCTCTCCTTGCAGCTGGCCTTGACTTTGAAGCAATCCTACTGCAGCCCTGCAACCCTCCAGATAAGACCCAGGTGCCCATGGTGGTTATGCCCCACGGTAGGCATCTGGTGTTAAAGAGCCCTTGCCCTCCCAGCCCTCCTCCTAGCTGGCCCTTTCACCCTCTGCTCCCTGTCTGCAGGGGGGCCCCATTCATCCTTTGTCACTGCCTGGATGCTGTTCCCAGCCATGCTTTGCAAGATGGGCTTTGCGGTACTACTAGGTGAGTGAGCAGGGACCCACAGCTCTGTTAGGACTGTGGTGGAGTGAGAGGGGTGGACCTGGTTTGTACAAGCACCATGGGTGCCACTCTAGTCTCCAGGTCTTTCTGTAGCCCAGACCTAGTAACCACTACCAGGAACTGCCGGGGCCCAGCCTCTGGTTCTGTGGCATAGTGATAACAAGGACTAACTTGGGACTTCCAGGGGAAGGGCACTGTGGTTACTCGGTGGCAGCCTCAAATCTCTGGGTCCCTTCCCCTTGACAGTCTGTGGTATAGCTGGCCCCAGGGCCTACTTCACAGATGTGTGGAAAGGGTGTCCAGGGGGCTGGGAATGTTGCCTGACTACACTGTCTGGTCCCTCCCCGCCCTCAGTGAACTATCGTGGCTCCACGGGCTTTGGCCAGGACAGCATCCTCTCCCTCCCAGGCAATGTGGGCCACCAGGATGTGAAGGATGTCCAGGTAGCAGGGGCTGGGGCTTCTGGACAGGCTGAAACATGGGCTGCCAGGGGGATGCCCCCATTCAGCTGAGTGGGCAGCTGGCTGCAGCATGCTTTGCCCCACCCTACAGTTTGCAGTGGAACAGGTGCTCCAGGAGGAACACTTTGATGCAAGCCATGTGGCCCTTATGGGTGGTTCCCATGGTGGCTTCATCTCCTGCCACTTGATTGGTCAGTACCCAGAAACCTACAGGGCCTGCGTGGCCCGGAACCCTGTGATCAACATCGCCTCCATGTTGGGCTCCACTGACATCCCTGACTGGTAGGCATACACCACAGGTCCCTGCCCTTCCCTCCTCTACCTCATATTCTCATGGAGCCCTGCAGGCCTAGAATTCCTGGGTCTGCATCAGCTCAGTGTCTTGCAGGTGCGTGGTGGAGGCTGGCTTTCCTTTCAGCAGTGACTGCCTGCCAGACCTCAGCGTGTGGGCTGAGATGCTGGACAAATCGCCCATCAAATACATCCCTCAGGTATGCAGCCCCCTCCTTGCCCTGTGTGCTGCCCATCCATCCAGAACCCAGGGCCCAGCTCAACACAGCTCCCCACTCCTCTCCGAACACCCAGGTGAAGACACCACTGTTACTGATGTTGGGCCAGGAGGACCGGCGTGTGCCCTTCAAGCAGGGCATGGAGTATTACCGTGCCCTCAAGACCCGGAATGTGCCTGTTCGGTGAGTGCAGCAGGAAGGCCCTGGCAGCTGGTGGGCAGGTGAGCATAGGAGGACCCTCCAACCTTAAATGTTGCTGACTAATTTCTACAGGCTCCTGCTCTATCCCAAAAGCACCCACGCACTATCAGAGGTGGAGGTGGAGTCAGACAGCTTCATGAATGCTGTGCTCTGGCTACGCACACACTTGGGCAGCTGAAGCCCTGCCATTCTGCATGAGCTGATCAGCCTATGCCACACTTCGCTCTTGGGGAGCTCCAAGGTCTGGCAGGGCAACAGGAGGCTTTCTGGGCTCTGGACTCCACGGATGCATGGGCAGAGGAATGTGGGCTATGTAGTCATAATAAATTAGGACACAGAGCCTGGTTCCTGCTGGTACTTTGTACCAAGCCAGTCCCAACACCACCTCCCACCCTGGTGTGCAGAGACCCTAGGTTCTGGGTGTGGTAGCCACAAGGGCTTCATCTGCCTCCAGTGTGAGAAGGGAAGGAACAGTGAGAGGCTTAGCCTCTGCCTGTCCTGGCAACCAGGACTCTGTACGAGCCTAGCTTCCCTGTTGCAGCCCCTTCCATTAGCAACGACTCTGCACCACCCTTCCCAAGAGTATGTCTGGGGGACTAGTGAGACCCTGCCTTTCCACGGCACCCATGGGCAAAAGTAGTCCCAGGGACAGATCACCTAGCCCAGGGTGTGCTGGGCTCAAGCCACCCAGGCCCTAGCAAGGAGTCACTGACTCATTTCCTGGAAGCAGAGGCTAAGAAGCATCTGTACAGGCGTAAAGAGGAAAAGTGGCTTTATGTCTGACAAGAAGTTTTGTCCTTCCCAAGGCATATGGGGTCAAGGCTGGGCCTAAGCCAGTCTCATGACCTTGTGAATCCAGTCCACAAACACAGAGACACGCGTGAAGACGGCTGGCCAGCGGGACCTTGCGCACACTCGGTTGGGGATTATAATTCCTTCCAGGACCCAGCAGTTGTGGGTAAAGCAGGCAAGTGGGCCCCCGTAGTCACCCTGGCAAGTAGGAGAACTGATGAGGGCCCTGGGCCACAGCAATGACTAGCCCCCTTCATGATAAAATAGTTCATTTCTAGCCCCCCCATACCCTCCCAGGGCTGGTCCAGGGCCCTGCCACCAACCTCACAGGCCCCCACAGGGGCCAACAGTCCATCAGTGCACATCTCGCTCTCCCGCACACGTCCTCGGTGCTTGATGTTACACTCCTGGTTGGAGATGACGTTCAGCAAGGCCACATTTAGGACTGTGTCATTACCCGTACCTGCAGTGAGGCGAATGGGGAGAAGGAGAGGGCCCTGGAGGAAGATCCAAGGCTGGGCTTCCTGGCCACGAGCAGTCCTGTGCACTGTGCTCTTACCTTTGGTCTCACCCCAGCCTGCAATCTCACACTTGGTCCCTGGAGGCACCACATACCATTCAGGGGGCAGGCAGATCAGGGCCACACGCTGGTTCAGGGTCACAGATCTTTAGCAAGAATGGGGGCACTCAGGGTCTGAGGCCACAAGGCCCAGTCCCACCTCACACCCTCCCAGGTTGTCCACATACCTCTCCAGCTTGAGCAGGACAAGCTGGGAGCCTGAGGGCCCACACACCATCTTGGCTACTGGGACCCGCTGTAGGCCTGGCTCTCCATGCTGTGGGTTCTGGAACAGGGTGCCCAACCATACCTCATAGCCCATGAGAGGCATATGGCTGGGAGAGAAGCTCTGTTAGGTCATTTGTGACTCTCAGTCCATTGCCACAAGGCTCACTGGTTAGCTTGCCTGGGGAAGGGGGAAGGTGGGATGAGACTGGGTCCCCAAACACAAGGGAGGCTCACCAGGAGGAGAAGCACTGCCGGGCAGTCAGTATCCACTGTTCCTTCACTAGAGACCCGCCACAGAAATGCTGGCCCTGCCTGGAGGAGTGGGGAATTAGGACAGGGAACAGAGTCCTGGGACAGATGCTAGACCTGCCATCTTCTGGCTAGGACCTCTAGGGGCAGGGATAGATTCCCAACCCCCAGTGGGATAACTACAGAGGACACAACCTTAGCTGCTCTCGGTGGGAGACAAGCAGTTGTGCCTCACCGATTCCGCAAGCTGACTGTCCAGGGTGAGTTGCCCGGATGGCCTCCAACCACACGCAGCTTGGAACGACGCTGATCCAGTCGATCCACCCTCTTGCCACACTTCTCAAACTGCACCTGGTCTGTGGGACGGGATGGGCTGGATGAAACCCAGACTGTGTGGATGTGGTGGGCTAAAGGGCCTGACCCATAACTGGCCCAACTCCTAACCTGGGGGGTCCAGGATTGATGGCGGCTGGTCATCAGCTGAAAGACAAAGTTCACTGGGGTTAAGGGAGCCAGTCTTTGGTGGTGGGGGTTGAGGCAGGGTCATGGGGGAAGCATCACTAGTGCTCACCGCAGCGTCGCAGGGCACAGTAGTCGAATGGGGTCCCTGGGTCCATCGTGTAGCACCAGGGCCCATGGCTATCCCCATCTGGGTTCCGGCAGAAGTTCTCCTCCAGTTGTGCGTGCGGTTCAGGGGTAAACGTGAACCTAGGAGCGGGAGCAAAATCGTGGCAGAGTAGTGTCAACCATCTCCAGGCTCTGGTCCCAGACACCAAAACATGCCGCCCCGGGGTTAGGGCCCTGGCGGGGCCGGGAGCACCAGGAACTCACTGCGGCTTGTGCGGTGTCTCAGCGGACCAGCGCTGGCACTGGACACCCTTGCGGGTCTTGCTGACCGTGCCGCGGTACTGCTCCCCTGTGCCGTGGTAGCAGTCTGCAGCGGGTGGGGGCAGCCATCAGGCCAAGACCTCGCCCTGGCCCTCCGGTTCCAGGCTTCCAGCCCCGGCTCTAGCCCCCAAGCTTGGGCCTCACCCTGGGGCCGCACGTCGTCCGCACAACGCCGAATCTGGTAGCAAAAGGCCACGCGCATGCCGGGCCGCAGTGTAAAGCACCAGGGCGCCTCTGAGCCGTCGGGGTTCCGGCAGAAGTTCTCCCGAAGGTCTCTAAGCAGGCGCTCCACTCAGTCCTAGCCCGCCAGCCTCCAGCCCTAAGCCCGTGACTACCCTCCTCCCGTCTCACCCGCGGCAGCACGTCCCAACACCCGCCCCCCACCTCACTTGCACGCGTATTTTTCTGGCGTAAATCGGTGCTGATGCGGGATTTGCGCGTCCCAACGCTGGCAAGGTACGCCCGCGGTGGTGGTGTTGGCTGTGCCCCGGTAGCCCTCACCCTTCCCGCGGAAGCAGCTGACAGTTGTGGCCTCGTGGCGGGGCTGTGCCTCGGACCCTTGGATGGACCGAGATAGGTCAGACCCCGAGCTATAGCTGAGATCCCTCTGGGGCTGGGACCAAACCCGCCTTTCGCAGGTGTACGGTACTCCAAGGGATATGCTCTCAGGTCACGACCAGCCCCTCTTCCCTCCCCAGTCAAGCCACGCCCCTCCCCAAGGTTCCCAGGTACCCTCCCAGGCCCGGTTCCCACCGCCTACCGCAGCGGGGAAGGTCACAGAACTCTCGCTCGAGCTGCGGATCCGTAGTGTAGCACCAGGGCCGCTCCGAGCCGTCAGGATTCCGGCAATAGTTGTCGTCTAGACCTTGGTCGAGGAATCTGGGGGCGGTAATGGGGCGTGAACAAGACCCTGGGACTCAGGCTTGTCTGGCCCCGCCCAATTGCCCTACACGGAGCCCTGCCCCTGGAGTCCTGGACCTTCCCTAGCCCGGCCCCCTGGGTGCCGACACCGCCTGCGCGTACTTGCCCGGCTCGAAGGGGTGCTGGTGCGGGTGCTGGAGATCCCAGCGCTGGCACTCGCGCCCTGACTCCGTGCGATCCACCGCGCCGCGGTAATCCTCGCCATTGCACCAAACACACGCGGCTGGAGACAAACAGCCAGTGGGTTGGTGGACGGGCGTGGGATTGTCCCTCCACTCTCCCAGCTTGACCCGGCGCCGCTTACCCTCCCGGCAGGATTTGATGCCGCAGCTCTGGAAGCGCACGGCAGGGTTTATTGTGTAGCACCAAGGACCTCCGGGGTCGCCATCAGGGTTACGGCAGAAGTTATCTTCCAGGCCATTCCGGAGCGTGGGCGTGTATCTGAGGGCCCAGAACAGCACTATAGTGTGTGCCGGGGCAAGGCCCCAGGCCGGGACGGAGGGAAGGTGTTTGTCTCACCTGTGATCATTCGGGAACTTGTGGCTCCAAGCCTGGCAGGGCAGGCCATCTACGGTTGTGGCCACGGTGCCCCGGTACCCAACCCCATTGTCCATGATGCAGGTCCGTATGTAGTCTGGGAGCAAGAGACAGAAAATCAACTTGGGCTGAGGTCCCCTATCTCCCACCCTGTCCCTCTCCACCCCTACTCGCCTTTCTTCTGGAAGAGGTCACAGCGCCCAGAATGCCGCAGCCTCGTGTGGGGCGAGTGTTGAGTCCATGGCAGCAGTTGGCAACCATGGCTGCTCACATTGTAGTGGAAGGCCCTGGAGAAGGCACAGGGTAACGCCACAGCCCAGCCTGCCCTGCCCCCAGTCTTATCTAGGCCCAGTGGCCACTCACTGGCAGTCCAGTAAGGGCCCACAGCGACCAGCACATTCTTCAGCATCTGACACATCCTCCTGCCAAGGCTCGGGCACCACTGCATGTAGCAGGTGCTGTAGCTCTGTGCCCCGGAGCACCTGGAAGTCATTCAATGGCGAGCGCTGCCCTGCAGAGTGGGCATGAGTGGGTGCGGGTCAGGTGGGCATACATGTCAGTAATGTGTATTGGTATGTCCATACTTTGTTCATGCAGGGGATCAAAACTACAAGAGTTCTGGGATGGACCCTGTATGCACTTTCAAGGGCCAGTCTAGCTGCCCTGCACAGATACTTGTGAAAAAAATTTCCCCTGGGAAGCAGGCCCAGACTTGGTAGTTATCACCAGTGCCTCTGTTTAGTGGCAGGCACCGGGCTCAGATCTAACATGTACGTTCTGTGAGAGCAGTTGGTGATGGAGCCTGCCCCATCTCATCTCTCAAATGAGAATGCTAAGGCCCAGAGCCATCACATTACCCAGCCAGGGGCCCTGGCTAGGCATTCAGACACCAAATCTGGGCTCTCACCTGCACAGAGGCATATGCTAGGTTAGAGGGGTAGATCAGGCTCAGGAGAGGTCACTACCTGCTGTGTGCATGCATCTGTGTGGTCCCAACACTGCCTCAGTGCTAGAGCAGATGTGCTAATAGAGGCCTAAGTGGGCAATGTATGTGTGTTCCTAGGGCTTCCCAGCTGTGCTCAAGAGGCCAAGGTCACTGCCCCATGTACACTGAGCCTCTGGCTCCCCAGCTTTTTTCTCATCCTAGGAGGATGGGCCCAACCCCCTCCTGAAGGTAGATGGAGATCAGGGTGGGAGGCACTCACCAGGGACCCCTAAGCATTGGGTCAGAAGCAGCAGGAGTGGGAGCCACTCCATCCTTCTGGCTGGAGGCTGCACTGTGACCCACCACAGCCCCATCCGCGAAGTTGTGAAACCTGTCCCTACGGGATTGGGTGGCTCTGGCTCCACATGTCAGGTCAGGGCTGCTGGACCCTGACCTGAGACCTGGTGACAGGAGCCATGAGGGGCCAGGCCTCAGGTCCCATAGGTCAGTTGCAAGGGTCAGTTACAGCTAATCCCCTGAGAGGCCTCCCTACTAAGTGGACAGGTGTTAGGAAGGTTTGGTGGGGACACTTGAGGTGTCCTGGGGTTGGGGTGAAACCCCTCTGCAGCCTAGTCGCCCAAGGGCATTGTGAAAGTGAGAGCTGCTAAAGTTCTGGGTTCCAGCCCCTGGGTGACATTAAACTTTTCTGAATTTCAGTTTTTCCCTGTAAATTGGGGAAAATTACTTGCCCCAGCTTCAACACTGCCTCCCCTCCACCCTTTTGCTGCCACCTTATCAGGCCCCAGCTGTAGGCAGGTCAGCCCACGCCCGGCTGCAGAGCCCAGGGAGGCCCATCTCACCCGCCAGAAGTGTCATCCCAGGGATGAGCGAGGCTGTCCACTAGGACTAAATAAGGGTAGAGGTAACAGGTAGCAGGGACTCTGGCAGGAACGGCCTTTCAGACGTTTTAAGGACCGTCTGAGCGGGGCCTCCAAGTATGGGTAGGAGACAGGTGGCCTAGGGATTCCGGTTAGCACTTCGCATTCTGCCGCAGCAGGGCTGGGAGCATCCCCAGAGCAGGCGGAGGTCGGAGGTGGTGTGGCCTTCCGGCAAAGCTGAGGCCTGGAACAACCCTGTGGGAGGCCCTGGAGGGGATCCACTAGCGCAGGCTGGGCTCGGGCCAGTGCGCGTGCGCGGCTGGAGGCGCTGCGCGCGATCGTGCGCGTGATTTGGCCCTGGACGGACGCCGTAGCCAAGAGGTTGGGCGGATGTTGTGAGCCGGGTCGCGGCGGCCGAGGCTCGGGGTGAGTGAGGGGCGGCTGGGCTCTGAGCCTGGCGGGTTCCGGCTGCTCCCTTCGCGGTCCAGGCTAGTCCAGTGCGAGGGCAGCTGCAGCACAGGGATCGTGGTGCTAAACTCCGAGCGGGAGCTGTTCTGGCAGGTCCTCTGGAGCTTGGGGCCAGGCGGGGGCGACTTGGGGGAGCCATACCCCGCCCTCGCTGTCCTTGGGCTCCCAGACGGCGGAGTAGGTTAGGTTTTGAGCCCGAATACCCCGGCGGGGCTGGATGGGATAGCTGTGACAGGGAGTCCCCGAGCGGGGACAAGGTCCGTCTCTCACCTGGGTCCTCAGCAACTGACACCCGGAGTGGGTGTCTCGAAGGTTTGCTCATCAAATGAATGACTGCGTTTAATCAGACCTTCAACTACTCTGGTAGTGAAGGGGCACCGATCACGGACGCCCACCGAGGGCCCGAGGTCGGGAAAACCACCTTCCCGAGGGGCAGGCGTGGTGCAGACCCACAAGGGTTTGTGGCGGGAGTAGAGGGTCTGTTTGGGGTGAGATAAGAGGCTGAGCTGCAGAGTAGGGAGTGCTGGCTAAGGCAGTGCTGCAGAGCGAAACTCTAGACCTGCGCTGTCTAATAGAACTTTATATCGTGGTGGGAATGTCCTACCTTTGTGCTGTCCAATAAAGTAACCATTAGCCACTTGCGGTCATTGAATTCTTGAAATGTGGCTAAGGCAACTGAGAAATCTAATTGTTAATTTTTACAACTTTAAATTTAAGTAACCTCATGTGGATGATGGCTGCTGTGTTGGACAGCACAGCTACACATCAGTGAGACCAGCACCAGGGACTCAGTGCAGGTTCTGGGGCAGCTGCAGCAGCAACATGATATGAGGGATAGATGCACTAGGAGGACCAGTGGAGTTTGCCATGAGGGCTGGGCAAAGGTGGTGCTTGGATGAGGTGGGAGGCCCCATGTGTGAGTGGAAACAGGGGAACTATCAGGACCATGGATAAAAGAAGGGAGGAACCCAGGGCTGAGGAAAGAGCCTCCAGCCTTGTGGGGAGTAAGTGGGACTTATGGCTAGAGATGACCAGACCAGTGGTGGTCTGCACTTGGGGGAATGTGTAGGACTCTCGCTTCTGGTTGTGAGCTGGACTCAGGATGGCTTACAACTGAGATGGAAACAGGGGCTCTGCCCCAGGACACCTCACTTATGACATTTTGGTCTGATTTCCACAGAGCTGAGACATTTAGTTATGGTTCAGCAAAAATGTATCTGGTACCTGCTGTCTGCCCAGGCCTGTGCTGGGCACAGGGACACTGGAGAACAAGAAGTGGTCCCTGTCACATGGGCCTAGACCCCGGCTACCCTCCCTGTGTAGGAAGCTGGGAGCCCCTGCATTCTCCTGCCCTATGTGTTAGTGTGCATGCCCCTGGCCTCACTTGCTCCCAAGCCTTCCTGCCATGGCAGGACTGAGGTCAGGTTTGGGGGCCCCTGGCTGGCCCTGAGTAGACAGGCTCTGTGTCTGGCTCAGCCTCCAGGACCACTGGCTGCCCATAAGAGATGAAGGATGGCATCCAAGGGGGCCGGCATGTCTTTCTCCCGCAAGAGCTATAGGCTGACCTCAGATGCTGAGAAATCCAGGGTCACAGGTAAGGGCTGGCAGGGAAGGAAGGAGGCTCCTCTTGTTGGGAGGAGAAGGAAGGGACAAAGGCCTCAGGCCTTGCTGCATCTGTGGCTGGCCTAAGACCAGAAGTCTCTGGGGCCTGCAGGGGCCAGGAGCTACACTGATCATGTGGCCCTTTTCTCCTTTCTGACTTGTGGCTCAGGCATTGTGCAGGAGAAGCTGCTGAATGACTACCTGAACCGCATCTTTTCCTCTTCTGACCATGTACCCCCAGCAGCCACCAGCAGGTATGGCTGGGTGGGTGGCCCCTCCTCACTCCGCTGGACCAGACCAGAGCAGGGAGGCTGCAGTTGTAGGGAAAGGGAGCCTGGGCTCTGGACAGATAGGCTTAGGCTCTGTTCTTACTGTGCTCCTGGCTGCAAGATCTCTGGCCAGAGAGTCTGCCTTCCATACTCTGTCTGCTTCTTCCTGTCTCCAGGCAGTGCTAGTTCCTTCTGAGAATCAGGGAGCAGAGGTCAGGGAGCAGGTGCACATTCATGCCCAGCTAGCACCTGGCACCTACTCCACACCCAGCATCTGGCCTTGCATGTACCTGCCCACACCTTGGCCTCAGCCTGGCCCCTTGTAGCTTCTGACTGATCTTGTAAAGAACAAACCCCTCCAGGGCCTTTTCTTTACAAGTTTAATACTTTGAAGTGTAGTCAGTATAAAAGTTACAAGTACATTTTAGCAGAAACTTAGAGACAGAGGGCCAGGCACAGTGGTTCACACCTGTAATCCCAGCACTTTGGGAGGCCAAGGTGGGTGGATTGCTTGAGTCCAGGAGTTCAAGACCAGCCTGAGCAACATGGCGAGACCCCATCTCTACAATAAAATATAGAAATTAACTGGGCATGGTGGCGTGCACCTGTAGTCCCACTATTAGGGAGGATGATGTGGGAGGATTACTTGAGCCTAGGAGGTTGAGGCTGCAGTGAGCTGGCCTCTGCATGCCGCTGCACTCTAGCCTGGGTGACAGAGCAAGACGCTGTCTCAAAAAAAAGAAGGAAAAGCACCTGCTATCTTGTTATTTTAACATGACCATTCAAATGTGATTCTTTTCTGTTTTCTTTGTGTTACATTTTTAATTTTTAATTTTTGTGGGTATATAGTAGGTATATATATTTATGGGGTACCTGAGATACTTTGATACAGGCATGCAATGCATAATAACCACATCATGGGAAATGGGGTATCCATCCCCTCAAGCATTTATCCTTTGTATTATAAACAATCTAGTTATACTCTTTTAGTTATTTTTAAATGTACAATTATTATTTACTGTAGTCACTCTGTTCTGCTACCAGATAGGTCTTATTAATTCTATTTTTTTGTACCCATTAGCCATCTCCATCTCCCCACAAGCCCTACACTACCCTTCCAAGCCTCTGGTAACCATCCAATACTTTGCCTGCATGAGTTCAATTGTTTTAATTTTTAGCTCTCGCAAGTAAGTGATAACATGCAATGTTTGTCTTTTTCTGCCTGGCTTATTTCACTTAACATAGTGACCTCCAGTTCCATCCATGTTGTTGCAAATGACAGGATCTCATTCTTTTTTATGGCTGAATAGTACTCCGTTGTGTATATGTACCATGTTTTCTTTATTCATTTGCTGATGGACACTTAGATTGCTTCCAAATCTTGGCTATTGTGAACAGTGCTGCAACAAACATGGGAATGCAGATATCTCTTCGATATACTGATTTCCCTTCTTTCAGGTATATACCCAGCAATGGGACTGCTGGATCTTATGGTAGCTCAGTTTTTAGTTTAGCTTTTTTTTTTTTTTGAGACGGAGTTTTGCTCTTGTTGCCCAGGCTGGAGTGCAGTGGCATGATCTTGGCTCACTACAGCCTCCCGAGTTCTAGCGATTCTCCTGCCTCAGCCTCCCGAGTAGCTGGGATTACAGACACACCACCACGCCCTGCTAATTTTGGTATTTTTAGTAGAGATGGGGTTTCACCACGTTGGCCAGGCTGGTCTCGAACTCCTGGCCTCAGGTGATCCTCCCACTTCGACGTCCCAAAGTGCTGAGATTACAGGCATGAGCCACCACACCTGGCCAATTTTTAGTTTTTTAAGGAACCTCCAAACTGTTCTTGATAGTGATTGCACTATCATAATTTACATTCCCACTAACAGCGTACAGGGGTTCCCTTGTTCCACATCCTCGCCAGCATTTGTTATTTCCTGTCTTTTGGATATAAGTCATTTTAACTGGGGTGAGATGATATCTCATTGTAGTTTTGATTTGCATTTCTCTGATGACCAGTGACATTGAATACCTTTTCTTTTTTTTTTTTTTTTTTTTTGAGATGGAGTCTCACTCTGTCGCCCAGGCTGGAGTGCAGTGGCCAGATCTCGACTCACTGCAAGCTCCGCCTCCCGGGTTCATGCCATTCTCCTGCCTCAGCCTCCCAAGTAGCTGGGACTACAGGTGCCTGCCACCTCGCCCAGCTAGTTTTTTGTATTTTTTAGTAGAGACCGGGTTTCACCGTGTTAGCCAGGATGGTCTCGATCTCCTGACCTCGTAATCCGCCCGTCTCGGCCTCCCAAAGTGCTGGGATTACAGGCTTGAGCCACCGCGCCCAGCGAATACCTTTTCATATGCCTGTTTACCATTCGTATGTTTTCTTTTTTTCTTTTTCTTTTTTTTTTTTTTTGAGACGGAGTCTCACTTTGTCGCCCAGGCTGGAGTGCAGTGGCGCGATTTCGGCTCACTGCAAGCTCCGCTTCCCGGGTTCACGCCATTCTCCTGCCTCTGCCTCCCGAGTAGCTGGGACTACAGGTGCCCGCCACTGCGCCAGGCTAATTTTTTTGTATTTTTAGTAGAGACAGGGTTTCACCGTGTTAGCCAGGATGGTCTTG